CATTAGCACTCTTTATAATAATACAGTTAGAAAAAAAACAATCAATTGACTAATCATTGAAAATTAACTAGATTCTTGATTTCTTCTAATTGACAGCAAACCAGACGAAACAATTTCATAGGATATTTAGTACCAGTAACGATCTTTAATCCAAGTAAGCTTTTTGATGATAAAACGGTAGATTACTTTTGGTATAAATGCGAAAAGTCCTATAATATACTTTTAATACATTTTACCATAAAATTTTGCCTCGTGTGTCGACTAAATAGTCGGTTTTATAATATTTGTTGCTTTTGGGTATCTCTAGGCACAGATTGTTTCTCGTCATTTTAATTGGATATTACGGTAATTCTGGCTTAATTTCACGGAAATAGACAGATGATCATGTGATTTATTATTACGGGAAATGGCAGACATTCCCATAGGGTTTTGCAAAATTGTGTGCACAATGTTTTTTCAAATTTTAATTACCCCTAACCCCACTTTTCCCTTGTCCTATACCCTCACGAATGTTGGTATATTTATGTTTTGGACCACGAGCAATCAATCTAGCCTATTTGCGATAATAACTTTTGCCTCTAAATAGGAGTTGTGACATTAGAAGGACATTGATATGTCTCCTTAACCCTAAAGGGGCTGGGTTATTTTGACCATCTCTCAGCCGGGGCCATCGAGTGACGATTCGGTACATGCATAGAGCAACTCTTCATAAATATACCCAAGAAATTTCATGACTATAGGTCAAAGGGTTTTGGAATTATGGCTAATTAATTATTTATATGTACGAATGGTAATTCTGCCCTGTATACACGACGTATATGGGAAAATTCAGTTTTCACGGCGCGCCGGAAAAATTTTCGCTGCGCGACAACCCCTGGTCCGATTTTTATATTTTTGGTGTCAAAAGATGCGCAAGGCTCGAGGCTAAAAAGTCATAACAGCTCAGGTCGCGAAAATTTTTTTTAAGGCTATCGTGCAAAAAGTCGAGGGGGGGGGGCGGATTCCGCCCCCGGCCCCTTTAGGGTTAATGTCCGGTATCTCCATAAGGTATAATTATGACGGGAAAATGTCTCCTTAAGGGTACATTAACAGGAATTACTCAAAGCAAACATCCAATCACATCGATGTAATTAGAAAAAAAGGGGGGGGTTAAAATCGCTTGACATTATTTTATTTTAAAAAAATACGAATTTTAAATTACTTTCCGAATTACTCAAAGCAAACATCCAATCGTATCGATGTAATTAAAATTTAAAAAAAGGGATTTAAAATTGCTTGACATTAAAATCGCTTGACATTATTTTATTTTTAAAAAAAATCGGAATTATAAATAACTTTCCTAATTTCGAAGTAAAACGGAAAAAAGATGATTTCTAGCTGTTCATAAAAATAGAATGGCTTGAAAACAATACAAAATAGAACGAAAACGAACCTGATCCTGCGATTGCATCTTATCTTTCGGTTGGACGAAAAGATTCCTCCAACTTGGAGGCAGTAGCCTTAAGTTATTCGTGTGAAACATCGGTATCATATAGCAATCAATCGGGAAAGATTTCAGCTGCCTATACAGTGCCCCAAGCATGGAACTATATAGACAAGGGATCTATAGTCGACACCGGGGAAACCCAGTACGGGTTCTGGTGTCTATCTATTTTTCCTTACAATATTTCCCCTGCCAAAAAAAAAGAGAAGCGAAAATGCCTTGTGGAATAGAAGGGAAAGTACCCTCAAAAACTGGCGCTTTGTCTGCTAAGGATAGGATGGAGACATGTTTGTCGCCGTATATACACGACCGCAGGGAAAGCGTGTCCATTTTATAGATAACCAGCTTAACACGGTCTTTCAACTTGACTCCTCCAAGATAACGTGACGTCATTCTTTCTTTGCAAGTCGATCCGTTTGGGTTTTTTTCTGGTGAAAAATACGGAACTCTGTTTAATAATTTTCAGTTTAAAGCTGTGCCAATTCATTTGTCATTATTAAATCTTTATTTGATCTTTATTTAATAGATTTGTCATTATTATATCTTTGTTCAACTTTTCAACAAATATCAAAGATGCATGGGAACATTTGCTTTTTGCGCAGTTATATTTCTCGTTTGAAGCAACAAAATTGCTCAAAATCTTAAGAAGGAGTATAACAACTAATTTGTTGAAGTTTCAGCTCAGTGGATACCATACATTTTGAGAAAACTGAGAAAATGTGTGCATAGATTTGGGGTGTCGTTACTGGTTTCCGTTGCTAACGCACTTTAAAATGTATGCATGCGAGCACATTTTCTAAAACCACCTTCAACGATTGTTTTTCTTCCGAATGACAACATTTCAAGCGGACTAATTTCACAGGGTATTTGGTACCAGTCCTATCTTCACTTTAAGAAAGGATTTTCTCCTCAAATCGGCAGGTACGTTTTCGGGTAATAGACCTTTATCATGCTGCCACCATTTCAGTCATGTTCCCTGTATCCAATAACAGTGTTGAATGATAATGTTTTTGTGCAAAAAGGAACCAGACTATTTTCCCTTGCAGCCGGAATGATAATGTTCTTTTGTGCAACAAGGAACCAGACTATTTTTCTTTCAAGCCTCGCTTTGGTTACATTGATTTGAATGAGAAAAAATCAAATGGCTGCAACATGATAATGGTCTATTGCAAATGTTCTCACGTGCCTTTAAAAGAAAAACCACCCTCTCCTTTACTATTCGGTATTCCTACCACATACCAACGGAGATTTTTGGAGATAACCCGACTTTTGGGAGTTCAACTGGAATTCTTTCAACTGGAATTCAAAAAAATATATCAAAACAGAAAGATAAACGTAGACAACGCTGCGAAGCGCAAACCCGCAGCAGAAAATATGTCGTTCACATGACCCAATCCCTACAACAAACACGCTCAACCTAAATTATCCTCGTTGCAGAAATAAGGATTATTTGAAAATGCACTGGTATTAATTTTGAATGAGGCCTCTTTCTTCATGCTAAATCACAGTGTCGTCTTGTTTCACAACGTTATTTACGTCGAAAAGTTGAGCTTGGTTTGAAAAAAACAAAAACATTCTGAACAATTCAATGGACCGGCGTGGATGGTCATGCGGTTGGAATTCTTGGTGCATATTAGCTGCTATTGTTCTCTGAGCAACGCGACATTCAAACACACATTGTGTAATTTTTTGGGGGGTTTATTTTACCCAACGTTGGGTAAAATGTACCAAACATTGGTCAAATTGGACAAATGTACACAATGTTGGTTAAAATTTTAACCAACTTTAACCAACCCATTTTAAACAGTGTTTTGAGAGTGTATATATAGGCCTACTTAAACATGCGCGCAAAACAAAAGGTCTTAAAACAGAATGATCATTCAAAAAAAATACCAATTTGGGTCATTCAGTAGATTTAGGGCCCACTTTTTTCCTGTCATTGTTACATCTGACATCTATGATTGAGTAAGTCTGGTGCACTCCTTAATACAGCCATCCTCCAAGAGTGATGATGAAAAGCAAACTATACCCAATAAATAACCAATTGTTTGAAGTCGTTCTAAAAAAAAATACTTGAATGGCAAATTACAAAGTACCAAGGTAATAGGGACAGGAGAAACGTCACATTGTGGACCCTATATTTAATAGAACGACCCACTTTTGTATACTTCGCCACTGTCTGTACCGTAAATAATTCTTAAACGATTTGCGTTGCATGGCGAAAAAAAATATTCTCGTGCGCGACATACCGCGGGGTTAATTATTGCAATTATTCCGATAAGAGCGAGCGGCTCCTCAGTATAAGCCAGCGCTTGAATTAAATGCGCGCCAAGAATTCGATGATTGTCCTTAATAAATCGTCAATGCAAATAGTTAGAGCCATATGGTGAATGTCTTTATGAGCCCTATGGCAGGTACGGGATGGCTCATAGTTTAATGTCCTACCTGCGCCACTGGATATGCCGGTATACGGTGCCGGCGCCGGCGTCGATCTTATTTGCACAACATTGCCCGGGGTCTCACAATTATTGTGATCGCAATGTTCACTTGACTACAATATCAAATTTTAAAGAATTTCTGTTTGTTTTTTGGTCTTTAGAAAACAATAAGGAGGTTTTTTGTTCTTAGGTAAGAACTTAAAAAGTAATATGCCAATAAGTTGTATCAGTTGGCAACAATGCCTTTTGAATAATCTGATCAATTGAGATGTCAGTTGTATTTCTTCATGTCTTAGCCAAAAAACAAAACAAGCTCGACCTCTTACAATACTCGGGGTTAGTCCAAGAAAAGGTCCCCTTTTTTCCCATACGTAATACCATGTTTTAATTAACTACATAATCATCGCAAAGACCAATAACATGAAACAATCTTGTAGGTATTCTCCTCGCAGATGTCAATTAAACATTGGCATGAAAACACCAAATCCATGAATATCTTAGTGACTTAAATTTTGGTTACGTAATGTAACATAACGTGCGCGACTGAATTCTAATTGGACTTGCCATATTTAGCGAAAGATTGATTGAACAAAAACTGAGAAGCTCTCCAAGCCAGATATGTTGTTGGTCACTTTGGCTCGTTAATGTGTAGCCCTAACTCCGAATACTATACGTAAACTCTTGATCATTTGCCCTAAAACAGGAAAGCCTTATTTATTTTTGGTGGTGCATAAATTTCAGTCATTTTGCATATCTATGATGGCACGCCCCTGGCGTACTTTTGGGTTTGAGTTCCTTAATGCGGCCAGCAATCGATGCGTTGTCATAAAATGTAAATTCCTTATACGGACCCTCGATACAATTGATTTTGAATAAATAAAAAAAAGCTCACCGAAAGACCTTTGGCGTTTCCACCAATTCAAGCGTAACACTTGGCAAACGGGATGCAAATCTCAGGAATTTAGAAAAAAAACCGCATGAATGCCCGAGACCTTTTAACACCCCAACCAACAAAAAAAGGTATTATAGATACCAAGCGGGAGTGGAGAAAGTAATGAGGTTCTCTGAGGAAAACTTACACATTTCGATGGTTAATCCATGTCGCGAGGTACGGGAATTCCTCAGCTATGGCCGAACGGAAGCCGGTCTAAATCGATAATATCCTTGAGCCAGATACTCTATATGTCACGGATTACTTTCCCTCGTAAGGCCAAATCCAGATGGTGGAGGAAGGCTTCGACCAGCACTCACACATAGGCGCACGCAGGTTTATACACACGTGAGGAACATCCAGCGTGCATCTATGTCAATCCACAGCGTTTTAACCCTCGATTGGCGGTGAATCCGTGTCCGTTCGCGGTCCACAGTGCAATGGCACGGCGGCGATTGCGCTCGTTCCGTTCGTACATCCCAACTCATCGAATCCACGTCTTCAGCTCGGAGATCCCGCCGTTCGACTGAGGAGGGCGCTAATTAAACACAGGGGTGCCACTGGTTAACAATCTGGCTGTAGCTCTTTGTCCATTGCCCGCTGTACACACAATTTGAAGCTACGCGCTGGTTCCGATTCTCAATTCGAATATGGTAATACGGGAACAAGTAGAACCACTCCCATCGTACATTTATAGTAAACTTACAAATAAATTAAAATATATTCAACAATTATTTTCTCTACAGAATTTAATATTAAATTTTTTTTGTCAAAAGCCAGTTTTTACTATTTTAAAAATGTAATACATTTAATAAAAAAGGTAAAGATTACGCTCTAATTAGAATAGATTTGTTTACAATTCCATTGTTATAGGAGTGGTAATATGGCGGACGGTGACGTCATTTCTAACAGACGATCGATGTTCTATCCATATTTTTTTCTTCGGAGATCGGTGGTCTGTACAAGTACTAGTACACCACCTAACATTATTTCTGCTCATAATACCTAACGGCGCTGTACAAAAATGCTGACAACATTCGCAAACTTCAATAGGAATCGCGTTGCTCGTCCCCAATGCCGTATGATTATCGCAAAAACACCCCTCCAATATACATTGCCATTAAAGGCATAATAGGATCATTGCTGTTCATGCGTTTTGTTCGTTTCAAAGAATAAAGCCACGCAAAATCCACAAAAGAGTTGAAATCCTAACCGGTCCTGGTGAAGTTTCAGCTCGGTGGATATCACACTTTTTGAGAAAAAAAAAGTGAATAAACCATGAACAACCTTTTGATCACGAAACACAATTTCGTCATTTTAACTCTTTTGCTCCAAAAAAAAAGGTCTATTGACTGATCGTTGGAAATCACATACATTTCTTGATTTCTTCTAAATGACAGCAAGCCAGACAGAATAATTTCACGGGGTGTTTAGTACCAGTTAGACCTTAATAATCCAAGTCAGCTTTCTGATATCGGCAGGCTTTTGGGGTGAAAGCGGATGATCCTATCATTGCCTTTAAGAGCGACCTCCGAGTGTCGACCCCAAATGAATAAGTTTCAAATCCTTGTTCTGTTTGTAGCAAAAAGTGCGCGCACACACACACAACGACATTTCCGCTCAAGAATGACAGACTGCCCGTAGCTCTCATCATGAGTGCTCACGTACGATACGTCAATGGGGAGGGGGCAGCAACCGGATGCGTGCATGGCGAATCCCATCCGATGTTACCGTCATCAGTCGAGGGCATACGGAGCCCCATCACTACAAAGCCTCCTCCAGCGCTGAGCTTCCCCTAAACTACTTGTTGGTACTTGAATCCATCATGGCCGTCCCCGAGTTGATGGAGAGGGCAAGACGAAGGTTTAGTACCGATCTTTGCCTCGAAAGAGCGGTTGAAGAGACATTAGATGGGGGCGATCAATCCGAGACGAGGGTTGCGTGCGCTTGGAACACACTTGATTTAAAGCGTGACTTCGCTAGCTTGCTATGCCGGGAAAGGTTTTCCGATTTCTCATGTCCGATTTAAGCAGCACAACAAATCGGTTGTAAGAGCAACGTGATGTAAACCTTGTTCAAAGCACATTCATCTGTTTTTGTCGTTAAAAAATGTTACAAATTTAATTCCATTTCCAAGTGTCGCACCAATTATTGTTGTACCCCCAAACAAGTGACTTTTAAAACCACCGTGACTATACAGGGAAATTTTAGAAGCTCTCCGACATTTGAAGGTCGACAAGTATTCAGATCCATTAAGCTATCGAAATCAAGAGCCCGTCTCATACGGTGGGCCGGGGACATGACCGGTGGGCATCCGGCTCGCATTGTTGAGATGAATGTGGGGTCGGTGCAGCCTAAGCTCCGCCCACGCTTTGACATTTATTGACGTAAGATCCCACACAACACGCTAGGAACAAAGCAGAAGCTTGCTCCTAATAATCGGTTTGAAATAATCGAAATATTCATCAGCAGCAACTTCCAAGGTCTACTTTGCCTAAAAAAACCCGAAAATTTCAAACATTTTAGCATGTACTTTCACAGGTCAGTTATGGAAAGAAATCGGCAACAAAACTTTTGCGTAGGAAATAAAAAGTCGATCCACACTCATTCAAAGAATAAAGAAAAATTGTATTTCCTTTCCAAAATTCTTGGTCAAAATATTCTCATTTCGACCACTCGTCACATCTGCAAAAGAAAACTGGAAAGCGTTTGTTTCGTGAGAGATATCGAGCAAACAGCGAGCTGATATTTTGCGCCAGAAACTTTTGGAAAAACAATCACATGAAAAAATCCTGATATTACAACCCTGTGACGCAAATTAAACAATCATTCACACAATCTGTATGTTATGCAATGGCACCATTTATATTTATTCCATCTGTATATTGTCTGTACATTATAATTTGTGCCTTTCATTGTTTGTATATTTATAAATGAGCGACATACAAAAATTACTGTTTGTACATAATGCACTGATTACACTACATGGACAAAAGGGCCCCACTGACTGTGCGACTTCAAATTCACATCGTTTTGCTTTTTTTTTTTTACAATTTTAACTAACAATTTATTATCCAAATATAAAAACAAAATATACGAACGACAAGAAACCATAGATTCTGCCTCTGGCCAAAGAAATAATACAATGTCATTCAGCCACGGGAATAAAGAAGCAATTTCGTGAAGACCAATTCTCGGTAAGACGTGCTAGAATTCAGTTTTAGCTTTTAGGATGGAACGAGTTCGAGCAAGGACTATTGGTTACTTGTGGTGGTGTTGTGATGCACCTCGCGACTGCGCGCTAATGTTTACAGTCGCCCGGTCCCTAGATCTGCAAGTCGATTACTGTCAAACGTCACCATAGAGCAAGTTCAGGCGAGGTCTAACCACATTTAACCATAGTTCGCTGGTAACCAGCGAAGCAGCTGACCTCGATCAGCCGGATCAAAAAAGGTCATCTGGAAAGTCCAGCCATCGTCGACTAGCGTGCGTTCGATGAAGGTAATCACAGCCAACATTAAACAATGTTTCATCGAACTTTAAAACTCCCGGTGAGGGTACAAAAAAGCGGAGTAACACAGCCTGCGTTTGAGAGTTATCCCCGACCAAAACTTTTACGCACACAACTGAAAGTACCAGAATCGATTTGAACTGACAGCTTGTAACCAGATTCTCAACATTTTGACCAGTTTTCTGTGGTCGTAAGACGACTTGCGTGACAATTGCAAACTAGCCGAAAAGTCGAGAGGACCTACTGTCGTTCACTATCCGCTCCGTTCACAAGTACCCCCTCACCGGCAAAGAAAGTACAGTTGGGGGTGACTGACCGACGCCATCTTGCCTGACTGAAATTTTGCCGCTAGGCGCGGCCGTACCACTGCGTGTACATAGTACAAATTCCCTGGTGTACGTACGTGCGTCACACACAAGGAACGGTGCGCGTCAACTAAATGTCCCGCCCAAATTCTGAATGACACCGAATCCAGGCAAAGTCTGCAAATACTAAAACAAAAGTTAAGTAGGCCTAATTGATAAAATATCAGTGTGTAGTGATTAACGTTCGATTTACAGTGCGGTTGAGACTTGGAAACTGCAAGATGTCTTCATTTTTTCCTCAACAAAATTTGAACCATCTATACGGCTTGACCATTTAAAACAATTATCCTTTGTCCGTAGATTCACATTTTCGAGTCAATCATAAAATCATTCCCGCAAATACATATTTTGGAAATCAGTTGATATCACCCACGACGGGGATAGAATCCTGATATTATTTTAAGCCTGAGCTGTTAATTGTCATAAACAATGTCTTCGATTGTTATGCTCATTTTCGATGACACATTTTGAGTGATTGGTTACGGTATACAAAATACAAATCGCTCGCTAATCTCAATTTATAATATACAGTACAGTTACGCCAATAAACTTTTAAAATTTCTTCTCCCCGAACCGAAAATATGGGATGAGGATGACAAAATGTTTTGTACTAATTAGAACACCTCGATTGTCATCTGTTTTTCTCTTTTATCTCGCAAGAAGATAAAATAGATTTTCGCTTGGTCACATGCGTTACACAGTTTGGCTATAATACCGGTAGGCCTTTGCGTATCATTCCGTACAAGTCAGGATTTGACAATTTCACTTCGGGATGAACACATCAGATAAAAGTATACACAACTCTATGGGGTTAATGATGACCCATGGGCGTTCCGTGCGGAAATCAAAAAGAAAATGTGAATATTTTCTTCAATTTTCACGTATTCAAAAGGAGGTATTTTTTTTTCAATTTCGCATAATGGTGAAGTGTTATCCCGAAAAGAAAAGCCTCCAATCTCGTGAAGTTGGAATATACAAAATTGAATAAATCACAATTTGGAATAGGGTAGGAATCTTTTTGATGCACATATAAATGACAAAGTAAACATTGCTGAGAGGATTGTAAGGTGAAAATGGAATTAGTTACTTTTAGGACTCCTCTATATTTTCGCCGAAGGATATTTTTTCCTTGGGAAGTTGATGTTGTTCATAGGTCAGTTGTCAACCGAGTGGTTCTCGAACTTAACTTCCCTTTAAAAAAAATCCTTCAGTGATCAACAATTAAATCTGGCCTTCGCCAGCTGTTTAGGCAAGTTCAAAACACATTTAATGCATTTTCATTCTGGGGTCCTAAAAGTAACTAATGCCGTGAAAACAACACTATAATCATTAATGTTAATGAAGTGGTTGTTACTACAAAACTTAGGTACTTTAAGATAATACATTGAAAAGATCGATACATATAGCATATGATACAAGAAACCAAGGGCCGTCATAAAAAAAAGAGCATATTATGATGTAAACTAGCCCTGTGCTGTTGCGTTTGAAATGAGCCTTTTTCAGAATGGTACATCACACCGCATTCGTCATACAGGCTAATCCTGAATATCACATAAAAAATATACCACATAATCAGAATATATACACAACGTGCACAAATTGCCATACTATGTTTTGTTCCTTTAAAAGAATGTGCCTTTTCGTACTCGCGCTACTTTTATCGGTATCACAATTTTTGTTTTTCATTTCTTTTACACTATGTACAAGTTGATACGATATATAAATTATTATTTTTTATAATATAATGCATACCTTTGTGTTGTAGTGGTTTATATAAAATTTTACATGAAACTTTTTTGTTGTTATGAATCAGGAAACAAAAAAGAAAAGGAATATAAAGGGTTTCTATGGATACTAACCATAAATGGATTATAAAAATTACTGTCATCCTGCGCTATGGGGCGAGAATGAAAACAAGCATTAATTTTATTAGCTGCTTTTCTAGAATAATATGTAGAATAGAAATTCATTCATCTCCATTGATATACCTCTATATTATTTTGGTCTGTACTTAGTCACTCAAAGAGCAATTACCATAATTTACGGAATCTATTGTCTCATATTTTATTACATTGTATATACAACAAAATTTCATTTCTTGCTTAAAAAAGGGTTAATTGTGTGCCGTTTACAACATGTGTCGACACTCATTCCCATAAAGGACTAATTTTAAATATACCAAAAAGGAATGATTTGTTTTTTCAATGTTTGACAAGTTTTGCAAAAAAAACAAAAACGCAAAACATTTTCTTGCATTGGCCAAGCATCGTACTCAGACTTTAATTATGAGGAACGTTTTTGGCATCATTACAATTAAAAAAAATTGAAGCCTCTTCTAAATACTGTATATGAAGCCTGTGACAAGATAACTGATTTAAAGATAATTCCTCTGAGTTTAATAACATCATCACAGGTCATCCAGTCTCAAATGACAGTGGCGGATCCAGCATTTACGGAAGGGGGGGGCTGAAAATGGAGGCAAAACCCAAACATATAAGTGGGGTATATATGTGCTCATGTGGGAGAATATTTCTGCTCCACTTGTGATTTTAGTTTTGTCATTAAAACCAGATCTATAATTGTGGAAATTGGAAGATCTGCTCTGAATTGTCAAAAATATGTCAAGAGGTGTACTAAAATAGTTGCGGATGGGCCCACACCCATTGGCCGACCACGGCAAAGAGGCAGAGCTCTGTGTCAGCTGACATGCGACTGCTTGGAGTCAATGTGAGGGACGCAACGGACAGGGCCAAGTGGAGAGGAGCCACAGGGAGAAAGCAGGTCAACCCAGAACAGACTGGACAACGGCCTTAAAACCAACGATGATGATGATGTCCATCCATATGTGGTGTCCTTGGGCAAGCCACTTTACCCCAACTTGCCACTCTCCACCCAGGAGTACAACTGGGTACTGCCATTAGCTGGGGAGTAACATGTGACTGGTATCCTATCCAGGGGAAGAGATATATTCTCTTCCTTCATACCAAGGAACAAGAAAACAATTCTGGCCTGATAGGCTATATTGGCTTGTGACAGACTTTACTCCATTAGCGTGTCGGCCGCTGGAACGAATGCATACCCCTTGTTTTAACTGTGGCTGTTGTTGGCCAGGTGGACGGCCAGGACCTGGCTGAACTTCTTCTGGTGCATGTCGACGACCTCGATGCTCTTGAAGAGTTGATCACACTGGATGTCCTCCGGCAGCTTGGTCAGGAACTGGGCCAGCTGGATGAACTCCAAGGAGATGAGGATGTCCTCGTAGAGATGCAGGATGCCTGGAGGAGGTGGGAGGAGGGAATTTGGGGAGAAACGAAGAACAGGATGAAGTGTGAAATTTTCCAGAATGATGGTTAGCTTTGTTTAATTCAATTAATGTTTGCAACTTTTATATGAGCAATTTAAAGACGTGTACCTCATGTTCCTCAAAAAAATTTCAGTTTGTATGTTTTGTTTTACGGGGAAAACATTACTTTTCTCAATACTGGGCATCTGTATATCCCTGAAAAAGGGCTTTAATTTTGCGCACAAATGAACCCACCCTGCGAGAACCGAATTATTGTCTGGCAGCTAATAATTTGAATTTTGTGAAGAAATAATTCAAAAACTAAACGTGGGTGGATTTTTTCGTTCGATGCCTTATTCAAAAGAGAACAACTTTTTTATTGCTAGCAAATATAGCACGGAGAATATATCTTTAAGCTACAGATAAGCTGACGATTAAAGCAGAGATCCTGCTTTATCTAGAGTACTTCACGGGAAGGGCCCAAACTGGAAAATCCACCAGGGGCATCGAACCCCATGAAAAGTAAAAATCCTGGCGGAATTTGGAGGATTCTGAATGATCCTCCAGTGCTCTTCAGCAAATTAATTATATTTTCTCTTCACACATTTTCCACTTGTATGTTTCATTTTAATCACCCCCCCCCCCCTTTTTGGGGGTCTGCAACCCTTTGAGAAAGGAATTTGTATTTGGCTGATTTTGCACCTCTGAATACACAAAACAGATTCACCTGATTTCTTTTCAGGCTTCAAGTAATTTGAAATTTATTAAGTAATTATTCCATATTTAGAAGTTGGCAGATTTATTTTTGGCAGTCTCATTAACAAGTGAATAACATTCTTTTTGCCAGCAAAAGAGCAATTAAACATATTCCCTAGGGTATTTTGGCTAGAAACCCTCAAAATGACAAGCCTGCTCAGATAGCAAGATCCATCAGGTCAAAAGTCTCAAGGCCAAACTGCCTCAGAGTCTGTAGTCCGCAGCAGGATACAACTGTGGCATTGTTCACTGCTCTCATTGGCTCAGAGCAGCAAATTGAAAAGGATGTGTAACACTTGAAACTGGGAGCAATTTGAGAACCGTCTTACCTAGCGCTGTGCGGAAGATGAACTCCTCGCCATCTCTGAAGAAGATGTCTAGAAAGCGACAGGCGACATCCAAGGGTAGAGACTTGGTGTACAGAGTGTACATCCTGCGAGACGTAGGAGAGCAGACAAAAAGGAAAATATAAGAGATATTGGAACCACAACTTAAACATAATTTACTCAACATACGATGTCAAAAATTGTCAATATTGGTTTGGTTACAGTTTCAGAAACGCTGTATCCTCAGTGTTGTCTGAGAATTCTTGAGAACAAAATCACAGACTTTCTCAGGTGGGCCCCTAGACTTAGATCATCTGCATTTATCCCAAAAGCAACTCTGAGAAGCACCACATGTATTTCTACCTCAGGTCTGTTTCAGAACCAGGTTTGCTTTTTTCCTGTACACTTCATAATGCAAAGCCTCAACTTGCTTAGCCTTGGTCAAGGTATTCGACGATAGTGTCCGATAATCGATGGTTGGCCACTAACATATGCAGTAGCCGCGCACTTTACACTCCCACGTACTGTACGAAGCGAGAACAGCGACCTTAACTGGCTAGGCTACAATATATGCAAATCAGTTGGTGCTGGTCGAACGCCTTGGAACAAAGGTCATGATGGCCTATCTTTTTCGGGCAATTTTTTATTTTATCACTGGGTTTATATCAAGTTATATTAGTCTGCAGACTCCAAACTTGTTGGAGAGTGTAACCATAATATCCAGCTCTCTATCCATGTAAAATATGAGCCTCAACGACCAAGTACTGAATGATAATCTCATCTTTATTGGCATAAGGGATCATCGCTGAAAATCCAGCGACAAAATAAAGAAATACATAAGCCAAGGCGTACGGTTATTCCAAGCGACTGCATACAGAGCGACTACTGTTTATTTTAGCTGCAGACCATCGATCATCGGACACTGTCATCGAACGCCTTGACCAAGGCTACAACTTGCATTGACTGGACGTTGTGATTTGAGTAAACTCACCAGTCAATGATGTACAGGTCTGGAGTAAGGCACTGGCTCTTGAAGTGGTTGTACAGATCAGGAAGGTTATCCTCAAAATATTCCTCGTAGGTATCAAAATAAGACTGCATCTGAAAATCAGGTTAAACAAAAATCAATACCTGTCAAAAGTCTGCTAGGCTTCGTCTAGTGAGAATATAGATATTCTCAACACTTGGAATGTTGTTGCTTCTTTGATAATGCTCCATTTCTGAACATGGAACACTCTGGGTAGGAAGAAGCAGTGTTTTGAGTGGGTTTAAGTTGGAATAGGCTGTTTTCATAAACTCAAGACTGGCAGCGGTTACCATAGTCTATGGAATACCCACTTGCATACAAGCGTTCAGGTCTGTCGATTAATTACGCAAAACAAGACTTCGTCTTGACATTGAGATTCAGTAGGCGCCTTCTATCGGGTCAACTTTTTATCTAAGATTAGGTAGTGCGACTGCACTGGCCTCTAAGGCCTATTTCACGACGCAGCAAAGCAGAAAATGTTAGAAAAAGATCAGAAATTGGCCCTTAACCCTAACCCTCCTCAATCCTCAAAAATTTTCCTGCCGGTTTTGAATGATTTTAGAGGATTGAGGATAAATGGCAAAGATGTATCGCTTTTTTTTTTGGAGGATGCATTATGTCAAGCCAGTAGGCCATATCCTGCATTGGTTATGTTCAGCCATGCATAAATCAGCCCTGTGTTTTTCTCATATTTCATCCGCACTGCTTCTAAACGCCATTCCCACTGCCTCAAACCATAGCACTTATTGGCAGAGGAGTTTGGAGGACTGAGGCAGTGGTCACCCTCCACAGACTAAATTCAAGAAATAACGGATGATTTTGGAGGATTGAGACTGAATCCAATTTTTCTTGGTGGCAATTGAAGGATTTTGCAGGATTGAGGTTGCATCCTAGCCAGAGGGTCTAGGGGGTTAGGGTTAATGTTGACATACCACGGGCTGGTCAAGCCGGAAGAAGGCAAGTTGGCATGACTTGTTGAGAACGTTGGCAAAACAACAAAACGCATCAGCCGGTTCCAGATACAGGAGAAATACTGCGGCGATGAACGACATCCCTTGAACCTGGTAGAGAGGAAACAGATCTTGAGATTAATAGTATGTCTTGTTTATTTGCCATTTATGGCACCAAAGGTGGAATAAGTTACATTCTAGTTTGATGATACTTCATGTATCAACAAAAAATGGTGTGTGTCACAAAAGATTGCAATAAGGCAGTTAAAGGGAATATAATATAATAATAATAATACCGGAGTCTTATATAGCGCACGTATCTACCAACAATTAGGTACTCAAGGCGCTGGTAATTATGTCTATTATTAAAAACAGGTAGAAGTCTATGAGAAATACGAGACCCATTATGTAGCACCTTATAAGGGTTTACAAGGTGCTGCAGCGCATTAAGCAGCCACTGCCAAAAACACTGGACCAAACCCCTTCTCTTAGCGATAAGTGTTACTGGGTTCTTTAACGTGCATTACACAACACACGGGACCTACAGCTTCACGTCCTATCCGGAGGACGAAGCAATAATGGTAAAGTGCCTTGCTTAAGAGCACAAGCACCATGTTCCCACTGTCAGGATTCAAACCCATGTACCACGGCACACGAGTCGAACGCCGTAACAATTGGACCACAGCAACCCACCCCAAATAATTATGTGCCTGGCCAGTTTTAAACAAGCACATATCCATTCATAAATACCTTTCATCAAAAAGTCAAAACAAGTCAAAATTCAAAAATTTCCAACAACTTTGTTCAACAATTTTAGCTCATGTTTTGTGAAACACCCCTCTAGCCATGTCTATGGTATGTGCCTTGCGCCCAAGGTGCTACAAATCCCCTCATATTTAAATTGGCCCACTGCGCGTCTTGCGCCATGTGGCGCAGAACGCAGCAGTGCTTTAATGGAGGTCAAAACCACCTTTGTGACGGGCTCTCAACCAATAGGAATTGATAAACTGTCTTAGGTATTTATGATGCTGCTGTTAGAGAGGACAAAGATGATGGAATACAAAACATCTTTCTACTTACATAACCAATATCTGGCCTGTAGCATGCATATGCACCTAACACACTATGAAGACGGTCGAAGTAGGGACCACCCTGCAGTAGAAGAAATACAAACCTAGTTAAAGGGCAAACTTTTATTGTTCTGTAATAAAAAAAGGAGGTGTGGCATGTCAAATTTAAATGTATTCGGGTTACATGTACAAAACTTAGTGTTCGCAATAGGATAATTTGCATTTATCCCAAAAGTAACCTACCAAATTATTATCAAAACGTTACTTGGATTAACTTATTTCTTCTGGCTTGCCGTCACTTAGAAGAAATCAAGGAATGTAAGTGATTTTGATCGATCAGTTGATGGACAAAGAGTGGTATCTTACCTTTTGATATATACACAGATGCGGGAACGTCCGGGAAACATCCAGTCGTATCACGTCCACGCTGTCTTCTCTGCTGGCCTCATGAACTGGTGGGGAAAAAGAAAAACCAAATATGACTAACAACAGCACTAATAACAAAATGTCCAAGTCACTTGGCATATATGATTAAACGGAAAACCTTACTCCAAATATGTGACAAAGCGTTGGTATTGCTTAATTCTGAATATGAGAACGGATATATATATTGAAGATCTGTTACAATAAACAACAAGCACATTCAAGCACCAATGTAGAGTTCTGAAAATATTCTACATAAACCACTTTTTATCCGGATTTGCCTCAGTGGTCTTCATATCCTCTACATCCCATACAAGTATCCATTTTACTCTTAAGTGTGCAGAACCAAATGCTGACAAAGTATCTTGCCCATGGACACAATAACTATTTAGGGCACTTAATCTGTAGAATTAGGCACCTGAATTTGCGTACAATACACAAGACCAATAGGAAATAGATTTCTATGTCTCTACAAATATTAACCCCAACTCTTTAGGCATTGTTTTTTTCTAGGATGCAGCCTCAATCCTGCAAAATCCTCCATTATTTCTTGAATGTGGTGCTTGGAGGGGTGACCACTGCCTCAATCCTGCAAAATCCTCCAGCAATCACTGTCAATATGTTGAGGCAGAGCCAGTGACATCCTGAAGCAGTACGGAGGATTTTAAGTATAATCTAGGCCTAAATTTATGCACGGCTGAGCATAAACAACACATGGTCCAGTCCACTGGACCTTGACACAGTGCATCCTCCAAAATCAGCCACACATTTTTGCCATATAGCCTCAATCTTGCAAAATGCTCCATTTTGCAAAGAGGATTTTTTGAGGATTTGGGAAGGTTAGGGTAAATGTATTTATTAAATTTCTTTTTACTTTTTCAGCCAATACAATTTCAATGTGACTACTATCCAAATGATATCAAGAATAACATAGTGTGCTGGTGATAAGATTGATCGTTTGTAAATGCACAATACCTCATGTTAATACACAAGATCAACTGGCCACAGATTTCCATTTTTCATGAATATTCATTCACCCGCTTTTTCTCCAACCAATAAACATCTAATAGGTCTGATATGCAAATACTGATCATGAGTAACAGTGATATGATTGGCAGTTGTTGTTTCAAGGCCCCACCTTCCTCAGAGTCCTCGGTGTCAGGCTCGTTGAAGACTTTGATGAGGTCCTTGGCTCGGGCCAGGAAGATTTCAAACAGCTCCGGGGTGATGTTGAGCTCGTTGCCGATGGCCAGCATCCAGACCCGGCCCCGGATGCTGGGCGGGATGCCCTGCCACCACATCTCCCTCGTCTTCTTGTTGGTTTTCCTGCCGAGAGAGGCAAGAGAGGTGATGAGAATTTGTCTCATGTCTTCATTAAAAAATGTTTTAACTCTTTTAGGGGTATTCACAACTTTTACAGAATCACTGCTGTGTTTGTGGCTCCGATTCATGACACATTTACATGTAGCAGGCTAAAATATGCACATGTCTCGTTAAAATTGAGGCACCTCCAAAATATACAGAAGGAAAACATAAATGTACATGTAGGCAAATGAACAAAAGAACTGCTGAAAATAGGATGTTAGATGTTCAGTTGCCTCCTGAAAAGGCATGGGTCAAAAGGTCAATTCACTCTGTGTGCGAACAAGATCGGGTGCTTTTTGACAACTTTCGAGAGCCCCATGGACGGGAAAACATCCCGTGCACGTGACGGTTCGCGCACGCAAAATGTTAAAGAGGATGTGGAATGCTCGAAGACATTTCCGTCATTTTTCGGGTATATGTAGCCTAAGGTGTGATGAAATAAAAATGACTATTGTTTCTGTCATGAAATGAGTACAAAAGGTACTTTTGAGAGCTGTTTTTAAGGTCCAGTTTCGACCCGAACATGCAACTGTGTAAATGTCGTCGTTGCGGGCAGCAAACAAAACACAGTAAATCGTGACGTAATAAACAGGACTCCCGATGCACAGTAGCATACACGAGTCCTAATCAATAGGCTTGAGACAAATATCTCATTAAAACATAAGTACATTTCAATGTTTTTAAAAAGATTGGCGTACACACATTCTATGAAATGCCTGCTTAAGTTCCTTTTTGTGTACACGAATGGGAACGCAAACTTAGTTGCCGTACACATTAAGCACATAAACTCCCTATTATGTGTGTGGTTGCACACTACAACAGGCACTGAGTATTTGTCTTAGCCCGGCAGTGTATTTTCTTTTGGACGATGTTGTAGGAATTATTGACAGTTGCACCAAGCCAATATTATTGTACACGGGACTTGATGAATCTTGAAATTTAATCCTTCAGACCTGTACTACATTGTGTTACATTGTATTTATTCGCCAATGAATCCATTAAAACCAGAGAGTTCTTGGGCTTTTAAGGGTGTTAGTACAGGCTGAACAGGCAGGGCGGTTTTGGGCAGTACAGGGAATATGGGTTGAAGTATATGGAATGTATTATTGGTTGCGTACAGAGCTAGAGTACGATGCAAGAAAAAAATACCACGAGAATTTAGAGAGTTGAAGATGCAAAAACAATGTATCTAATAAAAAAAAGTCATGACAACATTGGGAAGAATCTCTACCAAAGACTTCATTACTTACGAGTGATCCCAGTTCTTTAGGAGGTCAGTCTGCCAAACGTGGAGAAGCGTCTTGATCCCTTCTTCGTACTTGAGCTGCTTGGCTAACTTCTTCATCTGTTGCTTGTACACCTTGATTTCTGTAAGTTGCAAAATAATGTGATTGGGAGTTTCCAATGTTTAAACTCAATTTCATTTGCCAAAGTATCAAACGACTGGCCAATCTTGATGACATATAACCCTAACTCCCTAGGCCTGTTTGCTAGGATGTAGCCTCAATCCTGCAAAATCCTCCAATTGGCCTCATGGAAAAATAGCATATAGCCTCCATCCTGCAAATTTCTCCATTATTTCTTGAATATTGACCGTGGAGGGGTGACCACGGCCTGAATCCTGCAAAATCCTGCGGCAGTGACTGTCAATATGTTGAGGCTTGGCCAGTGACATCCTGGAGCAGTATGGCAGATTTCAAGCATAATCCAGGCCAATATTTATGCATGGCTGAGCTAAAACAACACAAAGTCCGGCCCAAGACCTTGACAAAGTGCATCCTACGAAATCAGTAACGCACTTTTGCCATGTAACCTCAATCTTCCAAATTCCTCCACTTTGGCAAAGAGGATTTTGAAGGATTCAGGGCGGTTAGGGTTGATAGCAGAAATGCGTAGCCATTCATTAACCCTAATCTACCGGTACCTCAATCCTCCAAAATCCTCCAGGCAGTTTTGGAGGATTTTGGAGGATTGAGGCTGAATGTTAAAAAGTGTCTTTTGATTTTGGAGGATGCATTGTGTCGAGTTTGTAGGCAGTACCTGGCATTGTTTATGTTCAGCCATGCATAATTGAGCCCTGCATTATGCTCGATATCATCCGCACTGCTTCTGAATGTCATCGGCACTGCCTGAACCCATTAATGGTGATTGTTGGAGGATTTTGAAGGATTGAGGCAAGGGTCAACCCTCCACTGAACAAATTCAAGAAATAACGGATGATTTTGGAGGATTGAGGCTGAATCCAATTTTTACATGGTGGCAATAGGCGGATTTTGCAGGACTGAAGATGGTTCCTAGCCGAAAGGGCCTAGGGGGTTAGGGTTAAAAAGAACAGTTTCGGAGTGGATTTGTTTAGAAGAGAATGTCTGAAAATGGTGGTGGTTGTAAGCTGTTGAGTGAAACGGCAAATCAAGACACACAATCTTTAATCAAAACTTTGTGCAACACAACTACATGAAGAGGGACTTTTTGATCATATCATTCCTTTCGCAATTCAACATTTCGCAATTCGTTATTTCCTCCAAGGGGATTTTTGTATATAGAGTTACGTAGTCATTCTATAAATTTGAGGTCCACTTTTGTTCCCGTCCCTGTTACAGGTTTTATCATTCTGATGCACGCCTTAATGCAGTCGTCCTTTACAGCTACAGTCCATCATTTGTAATTTGTGCATTTTGTTCGTTTGAAGCAACAAAAGAGTTCAAAATCTAATGAAGGATACTGAGCAACTAACCTGATGAAGTTTCAGCTAAGCTCCAGCTGTACATTCCGAGAAAAACAGCATTCTAAGATCTCAATTTCAAATCAAAAGTTACTGAATCATGTTTTGAATTGTTTTGAATTGCAGCTATACGCGACGTCGCGCACTGATCCAACGAATTACAACAACCGCGCGCGCGTGTGCGTCATTCCAATACTTGTGCGTGCTGCGTTGAATAAAAAAACGAACTACTAATTTAAATTTTCCTACGGTGCTTCTTAAGAGGCACCATTGGAAATGCCTTCTTTCGTTGATTACTTCAAAATGACACCTTCCCAGAAAGAATAATTTCACAGGGAGTTTAGTTCCCGTACTATCTTTCAACCAAGTTTGTTTTTCAACAATAATTACGCCAGTTACTTTTTGGATGGCTGCAAATGATGGACTATAGCTTTAATGAGTGATTATGAATAGTAAACTACCTACCCAACAAATTAAAATAATCATTTGAAGTCATTCTTAATGATACTTGAATGACAAATGACCAAGTACCAAGGTAACAGGGACAGGAAAAAGGTCGCACATTGGACCCTAAATTTACAGAACGAGGATTCATCATACCTTTCTGCTTGGCTCCTTTGACCATCTCTTCATATTGCTCTTTGTGCTTTTGTTCTTCGTCAGGATTCTTGGCCGGGAGGTGTCTGGAAAAGACATTATGAAAAAAAAAAATGAATTGAACATTTTATGAATGAAATCAAGCATGAAATGAAATGCAAAATCTCCCTGCTCCAGGCACAATATTGTAGTTGTTAACATGTTCATTCAAGAAGTGCACTTTTCCATAAAATTAACCAAAAAGGGATGTCAAATAGTTTTCATACATTTAAAGGGAATATACATCATTTGCTTTTGCTGTAATTTTCAGAAATGGATGGAATTGGGGGGTTGGAAGTATATAGCAAATATAGTTACACTGACTTTTTTGAGGTTTTGGGTTCGAAAATGCTATAAAAACCAAGAAAAACAATCATTTGCCTGTAGTCTGGTTCCCTGACTCCATATAAGAAGAAACAGAGCAGTTTACATACATTGGGGAATTGTAAGGTCAGGGAACCAGTCTAGCTGGCTTGTACCCGTTCATAGGTGTGTAATCGACTGCAAACAAGTGCGATGGTCAATTGGGGCCAGTATTTGAAAAAAAAGCCAGTTTTTTCCAACGCTGGTCGGCCGACCAGCGTTGGAAATTGATACAAAAATACCACTTTTCTTGAAAATGACAGTATACCAGGTGCCATGATTTTACAGGATGCTTTACACTGTCATTCACTAACAGTCCAGCAAGGTATTTCAAAATGATTTGGTAGTTTTATTTTTTGATGATTGCAAATGTTGTATTTTCCCTTTAAAAATTGTTCATCGCAGACATCACCTTTTACCAGAGCTGGTCACATATGGTTAACTTCACAATTATGGAATGAGCTGTGTTACATTTTGTGACAGTTCCCAGTCACGCATACATGTACAGCAATCAAATCCCACACTACGTGTACACCGGTCTGTATCACTTCATGCATAACATAATCCATGTATTGTACGTGTACCTGCACATACCAACTGTGTTATGAATAAAGTATGGGCGAGTGAGACAGCCATAAATATTATATTGAAGCACAACCAATTGCTGGTTGATTCAATTAAATTTATGTACTCCACATCTTCCTCTTGGTAATAACAAAAGCCGTGTTCGCACTGGACTAATGGTGAAAGCAGAATAGGTAATTTTTACCAGTGTCTGCACTTGGATTTTTTTAGAGAATATGGCTGAAGGAACCAATCTGGGCATAAATAAGTGTCTGAACTGGTATGGTAGGAATTAAACCTAAGAAACTAGACAAAGTGGTCCAAACATGTAGACTTTTTATTATCGGTAGGAAATTAACGGAGTACAGTGGAACGTCGCTATACCGAACATCGCTATACTGAACATTCGGCTATACCGAACATCATCATTGGCTCTCCATTTTTGTGTACAAAACATACAAACATATGTGATGCATTCAAGCTAAATGAGTCGTTTGTCGACCCTGGTTAATTTTTTTTATTCTACAGTTTTGAAAAGAGCACAATCTCAGCATTGTTGATGTGAAAACTGCATGCTGATACCAACTTTAGTTCAAAAATTATGGAAGTCTGAACACCAAGAGATGTGATGAAGTGATGTGATAAAGTGGCCCTTTTTGGGCCTGAATCTCCAAATGAGAGTTCCCAACAAACGACTCATTTTAGCTTGATCGCATCACATATTTGGATGAAAAATGACAACAGAAGAGCGACAAGTGGCTAATACTTCCCCAAGGAATAGAAAGGAAAAGCGTCCATATAAGCTCAAAAACTGTGTGATTACATGATTCAAAAGTTGCATGTGTTCAAAGTCGTCTTTCAGTAACTACCAGGACATACAGGGTGAAGTTCTGCTTACGGAATTAGAAAGATGAATGGACAAGTTTGGCAACTCAGTGCGTGATTTGCATATGCCACTCCACTATAACAATGGTCAAAAGAAGACCTACTAATATGTGAAAACTACAAGCTGGTTAGTATCGGCTTAAAATCGCTATACCGAACGATCGCTATTACAAACAATTTCTGTGGATCCCACGATGTTCGTTATAGCGGCGTTCCACTCTACATAGGTGAAAATTTACGACAAGTAGCAAAAGGACTCCACCTTGAGTACGAGTCCTGTTGCAAACAATTCTGTGCCAGCTGTGTGTCCAAACATGCATATTTCAAAGGACTCAGTCAGCAAAGCCTTGACGGTCCTGCTATGCAACTTTATATCCAAGTATAGTTGAGGTACCCAGGAAAAAAAATGACTCAGCAAGACTGCAGTTATATAGACCATTATCATGTTGCGGCCATCTTGGTTTTCCCCCATTCAAATCAACGTAACCAAAGCGAGGTTGCAAGGAAAAATAGTCTGGTTCCTTTTGCGCAAAAAACATTATCAATCAGTACTGTTATTTGATACAGGGAACATGACTGAAATGGTGGCAGCATGATAAAGGTCTATAGCCCTCCATTTATACTTACTGAGGCCTGTTCTCCAGGATTAGCGCTGTGGTGGAGGTCGCCGGTCGCATCCCAGCCTGCTTCTTCTTCCAGTTCAGGGACAGCGTGGGCGGGTGCGTCTTGCCCTTGGGCGGGTAGTTGCTGTCATAGGGGTCGGGGTGCTGGGCGGGGTGCTGGGCGGGGTGCTGGGCGGCGTGCTTGGCTGGGCTGCGATTGAAGAGCTTCCATCCGGAGCTGGCCGGCGGGCCGTCCACTTGGTCCACGGATGACTTGGCCGACGTCTTCCAGGGGAAAAGGTTTCTGTTGGAGGACAAATACATGTAACCCAAAATATTGCTTTAATTTGGAGAAGTGAGATTGGCATATGAAGCTTATTAAACGCTAACTCTCCCAAGCCTTTCAAAGTTCACCAGAAGAGGATTTAACAGGATTGAGAAGGGGAAAGCCCAGCCCCTTTGAATTTAGGGATTGATGTCCTTAAAGTTTTTGGAAAATTACAACTGGTTTTCTGCACTATTTTGGTTTTTTATAGGATTCAGGATGGTTCTTAGCAAAAATGTAAAGGTAGTTAATCAATGAAGTTTCCAGGGGGGGCCCTAGGGCATGTCCCCCCCCCCCCCCTTCAATAGTTTCGTCCAATTCCCTTGCCATACATTTGTATACAGGCCAGTATAAAAAGCAGTAAGACTGCATTCGTGTAAACACTGTGACTAGTCAAATTCCATCAACAGACATAAGAGGTAAAGTAGAGCTGGCATATCAATCACCTCCAGTCAAAGCATGGCTATGTCAAATTAACAAAGGAATTCTTAACAAATAAAAAGCAGTCACTTGATTGATTTTGATGGCGTAGCTGTATTTGTCAGCCAGTGAGGAAGGGTTGGTGGATTATGCACATTGTAGGGTTCCAGTAAATCAGATACCCGTCCCTTCTATTCGGTGTAGGCCTATCTGTCCCTTTTCCGTTCCAACTTGCAATTCAATTGCTGTACTTAGTACAATAATGGTTACACTTTGAAGATGCTTACGTATATTTCCACCTGCGGCCAATTTGTATAATGAAAACTGAACACAATGCATACATGTACCTGTACATGTACATGAGTTGTCAATGTATAATACAGGTACATTTTGTAAATTACCCCCTAGAGCAAAAGTCAATGAGTATCACATAAGGCCGCGAAAAAAAAGGTGTTTACAGTAACGTCCTAAAAAAATTCCAGGTAGAGTACATATACATGGTTGGATTATATTTATTTTGCAAGTTTGTTATGTTTGTTGATATTTTATACTTACTGTGGTTACTTTATGTTTCCCTTAACATTGTTCCGTTAAATTAACTTGTTTAATTGTCTATTTAACCAAAAGCACACTAACAGTCTGAGGGGTGGCTTTTGTATTTTAAAAAGTATGCTTTCTTTATAACGTTTTTGCCAAACATGGCAAAATGATAAGAAGTTTTAGGTCGCATCTGGACTTAAAAAATCCAGTTTCATGTAGGTCGGGTTACCGTAAAAACACAAATTTCTTTTTGTTGGCCCAATAAATATATTGTGTATGTTTTTAATTGTATGTGTACATACATGTTATAGACCCATGTATGTGTACATACATGTATTACAATGTACATGTATGTATACAGTACGAAGTCCTTTTAAAGGGCAAAGCATGATGGACTGCATATTTTTACCATATTTGTTCACAACTTCACAGTACTACTGTATTTGTACATGCTGCACGTACAGTGATGCATGCATGTATCGTCTTACAACTTACACTACTACAGTAAGAGTAAGATGTACAAGTACATACTTTTAGGGCTGTCCCAAACTCAAATATTTGATCATCAACAGAATATTCGGATAGCTTTTTGCCGCTTTTTGGCGCTTCAAAGCAAAAAACCTACGCACAATACACACACGGCTGTGATGTTACTGGAAGTGTCAAATATATCAGAATTTTCGGTCAAACACAGTTTCGAGTAATCAAATGCTTAATTATTCAAAAATGGACAGTGCTAACGTACGGGTATGTGTGCACGGACACGTATCCAAATCATGTACAAGTACCGTAGAATGTCCTTACAGTTTCTATCCTTTTTTTTCAAGACTGACAAACAAGCAATGTAGTTCTTACATGTGCACATGTAAAAGCAATATGCTTATCAGTGTAAGATGCCGTAACTCCAGTATTACACGCAATCTTGTATAAAAACTCAAGTATGACTGACCATACAATATTTAATTTTTGTAGCCAGTTTGCGCTGGATGACTTTTATCCACACAAAGGTTTTGCAGTATTCAGTACAGATGACGGATAAACACGCAGGGAGCGAGGCCGGAAATATCTGTCAGCAACCGGCTCACAGCGAGCGAAACTGAATATTTGAGTGTGCTGCCCGAGGGTGATGGCTTCAACCTGCCTGGCTTGAGGTCGAATGAAAAGTTATCCCGTGCCTCGTTCCGTTCTTGTCAAAACAACCCCGGTGCAAACTAGTTAAAACTGCCTTCTTTTTTTTTTTACACAAAAGTTCTGTCATTGAAAACATACAGTATGACTGAATGACTGCAATATCATTTACAATACTCTTACCGGTACAGTACCAACACTCACCTAACTCTATTGTTGAACAGAAAGTACTATAAATGCAAACTGGCTTCAAACATACATGTACTAAACCCACGACAGCGCATGCACGTTTTGTAAAGTCTCTAAATCTGTGCCCACATACAATTGTACCGTACTTTCAGAGAACTTCAACAATGTGTACATCACAATGGGATTGGGAGAGGATTATGTGTACTCCAACAGCAAAGTTTTGTGACGTCACAGAAATCCTGAATGATTTGGTCTTCAACAGCAAACTTCCCTCTGAATACAATGGAACCCACCACAGGGTCATGGAAGTGAGTCATGCGTCCAACAAAGTCTGGCACATCGTTCACAGCTGTATAACCAATGGATTGGCGATTCCAATTTTTAAACACAAAGACACAGTTGTAGTACACGAATAAAGAATCTTCAGTAATCCTTACCTTAAAGGGAATATACAACATTTGCAAACATCAAAAAATAAAACTACCAAATCATTTTGAAAAACCTTGCTGGACTGTTAGTGAATGACAGTGTAAAGCATCCTGTAAAATCATGGCACCTGGTATACTGTCATTTTCAAGAAAAGTGGTATTTTTTCATCAATTTCCAACGCTGGTCGGCTGACCAGCGTTGGAAAAAACTGGATTTTTTTTCTTCAAATACTGGCCCCAATTGACCATCGCACTTGTTTGCAATCGATTACACACCTATGAACGGGTACAAGCCAGCTAGACTGGTTCCCTGACCTCACAATTCCCCAATGTATGTAAACTGCTCTGTTTCTTCTTATATGGAGTCAGGGAGCCAGACTACAGGAAAATGATTGTTTTTCTTGGTTTTTATAGCATTTTCGAACCCAAACCTCAAAAAAGTCAGTGTAATTATATTTGCTATATATTTCCAACCCCCCAATTCCATCCATTTCTGAAAATTACAGCAAAAGCAAATGATGTATATTCCCTTTAAACACAATGACACAGTTGTAGTACACGAATAAAGAATCTTCGGTAATCCTTACCTTAAAGACCCCGTTCCTATATAAGGTTAAAAGACTCGCCAAAACAGCTGACTAAATGACACTCAAAAGTGACGTTCTGATATTTCTTGACACGTTTGAACAGTTGGTAATGACACCTTCTTGAATGTCAACAGGTTGAGTTTTGTAGATAAAGGGCAGGGCTTTGATTTATGAGGGGTTAAAGACGACGATGACAAACAGAAAATATATTTAAAAAGCAAGATGGCGAACTACAAAAAAAGGTAGGAAAGTCACATTTTCTTTGAAAGTGCTTTCATAATTACAACTAACATGAGTTTATCTGAAGAAAAAAAACTGCTTTAGCCTGCAAAAGTCACTTTGGTACTGGACAGTCATCTGCAAAAGTCAGTTTTGAACAGAACTCGTAAAAATAGAGGTGTCCTAAAGATGAGGATTGCCGAAACTTCATTATTACGAAGAAATTATACACAGTATCTTCCGCTGAGCCAAACACTATCGGCGTTTTATGTATGTTATTCATGTTATTGGCATGTTTTAAGACAGCATGATTACAATTGCAACTTTAACCTAACTCCCCACTGAGTTTTACTAAGATCAGTACCAAGTCTGCCAAAATCCACAACTGACTCTGCTTAATGCTTCAGGACCAAATCTGCCACAACCCACCACAAATCCACCACTAGGTGGATTTTGATGGACTTGGTACTCATGGCTCCTCTGCCAAAATTCCCCCAAATTTGGATGGAGTTAACAAGGTTAGGGCAGGGTTAATTCAAGATACAATGTACACACTGTATAAAAAAAGGTGTACAATTTCTTACACAGTACTTGAAATATGTATAGCCTATTCAGACTTCATGAGAAAGCAAAAGCGAAGTGAATTTCATGTCGTCAACAACTGAAACTTCATTGTGCAGTGAGCCATTGCCCTAACAAATTCATTTCGCATTGAAATACATGAACACATGAAGTATGTATGAAACGCTCATATGAACTACATACGTGTACATGTACATGTACATGTAAATGTATGCATACATGTACCGTGGGTTCTTTTAGTGCTTGTTTTGTAAGTGATCCTGAGTCTAGAATCCAAAACATCAGGCCCTCCGAGTCCGAACTTAACTTCCTGGTTTACAAATGATCTAGTACACCACATGTGGTATGGTATCACTGGGTGAGGTTTCAATGGTTGTGGGCAGATCATGTGATTCTGTATCACATCCGTGTACATGTTTATGTACCTGAACATGTACCGGTACATGTGAATATTTTTCTCTCCAGGGATTCATTTTTGGTGTTGATCGCTTGGGAAGTTGATCCAATTTCTCTGAAAATGTGACGGTACAAAAGGTATGTACCGGTATGTATGTATGTGTACATGTATGTGGGCATGTCAAGCAAGCACTGTGACTAGTCAAACTCAGTCAACAGACCATGAATGGACAGAGCAGTCAAGTTGAGAGAACAGCTGGCTTATCAATCACTCACAGTCAAAGCAAAGCTCCCTCAAGTTCCATAACCAGTCACAGCCAGTCAATCCTACTTTTTGTAGGCTGGGAATTCTTAACTGTTCAATCAAAACAGTCACTTGATTTTGACTGAAACTAGTGAAAGGACAACTTGACACAGAATGCTAGGTCTGTGCGACCATGGTGCAACTAGTCAACAATACTGAAAAGCATTGGTAGTCGCGACTATCAAT